ATTCGCCTAAAAGCACCAAAGAATAAACTGGATAATGGTGAAGGAGGCCTGCCTTCTGCAGTTCCTTATGAGCGTGAGCGACTTCTTAAACAGTTCCTTAGGGAACCGGGAAGTCCATTCTCTTGTCTGATTTGCACGATGTTTCTTTCTTTCTTTCTTTCTTTCTTTCTTTCTTTCTTTCTTTCTTTCTTTCTTTCTTTCTTTCTTTCTTTCTTCTTTCTTTCTTTCTTTCTTGTCACATCATTTTTTATTTTCAGCTATTTAAACATCTTTCTCAGGCAATAAAACAACTTGTATGTGGGGTCTTATGATTTCTGAAACCATATTTTAAAAACAAACTTATCTCCAATATACAGAGTTGTGATATTAAAAAAAAAAGATTTATAGGCTACATTGTTTTTCAGAAAGCAGATAGTTACACTGCAGACCTGTACAACCAACCTTCCTAGTTAGGCTGATGTTGCAGAATAAAGAACTGTGGGTCAGGAGTCTTCTGTTAAGGATACTTGAGAGCTTCAGAGAAATGTTTAGTTTCCTCCACAAAGAGCCAACAGAACTTTGTCATAATCTCCCTTGGTTTTGTCCAGAATGACTTGGCACAGACAGTTCCCATATGTCTTCTGGCAGTACACTTTGATATCCTTCATGTCAAGTTCCGAGCGAGAGACTGTGATCCTGATCAGCGCCTTATGACGAGTTCCAGCGCCCTTCACTGCCTCATGAAGCTTCTCAGCACAGAAGGCAGGTGTGCTTGTGGCACATTTCACGATGGCTGTGAGGCACCTCTCAATGTCACCCTTCAGCTCCAGGTCCAGAGCCTTGCTCATGTTGTGCCCACTGTACTTGGTGTATCTCTGAAACACTCTGTGAAGATGGGGCAGCTGTGGGTGGTCAGAATGGTGTTGAACATGTTCACGGCTGCCCCCTTTCTCCTTTTTCCAGCTTCATATAGGACCCTGGCATCTGTGTCCACCAAATCTTCATTCACGCCAAAATCCTCACATCGGTCACCCTTAGAGAAAGAAAGCAGAGCCTTTCGAAAATCTCCAGAAGTGTCTGGTGATATCTTTGGCCAAATCTCTCTTCAGTTCATCTCTGTAAACTCTGCTAACTTCTCTGATTTCTCTATTCTTTCTTGATGCCAAAATTTCAGTGAGGGTGTCTGCATCAGTTCCAAGACCCTTCATGGCAGCACAGAGCTCATCTGTGTCAAACTGGGCAGGAGTTTTCAGCAGAGCTAAAACCACTTCTAGATGACCTGTGAGGGCTTTCTTCAGAGCTTCATCCAGTGGCTTTCCTTTTTCCTGGAGGTAGGCTGCTGTGATCTGTTGATGCTGGGCATTGTTTTTCTTCGTCAGAAGGTCAGTGATGGTTGCTTCATCCACACCTTTTACCGTAATGGCTTTGTACAAAGCCTCAACATCCGAGGAGGGATTAAAGCCTAGGTAGGGGCTCACGGCTGACCCAGGACTGCCTTTGGATGTTTTCACAGTTTGAACATATTCTTGTTCTTGAATTGTCAATAAAGTAGGCCTGCTTGAGGAATTCTGATACCTCAAGCCATTTTAAAGTGTCCTTTTTTCTACCTGCTTCCAAAGAACCCAAGAGAGGCTTTTCTTGGTGCTTTCCATGAAGCACTTTTCAAAGTTCATCAGTTAGGGTCAGAGGAGAACACAGCTCCATTGTTACTTCCCCGCCTTGTGGCTGACCATACAGTTGGTATAGTAAGATATATTATTTTTAACTTTCTCTTGTGTGTCTGTCTCTTCCACTTCCACAGCCAAACTAACAACAATGTAACAGAAAGCTTCCTTAGTGGGGATGAAAGACACCTGACCTCAGAGACTTTGGTAAAGTGTCAGAAAGCTTTTTATCAGTTTGGAAAAAGTCTTCATACATTGAGAAGTCACCACAATGATCAAAAACTAATGTGGAAAAAGAAAAAAAAATAAATGAAACATATTATGGGGAATATGTCACAGGAAAATCTACTTAAAACTAATGCTTTGAGTGTGAATCAGGAAAATCACAAACTACATGCTGTTAAAGGCAAAGGTGGCTTTTCAGAAAGAGAGTTGTCACCACATCACATTCAAACATTTGGGGGAGAAACAGGTATAACATGTCACTCAACTGAGATGAAGGTGGAACAGCACAAAGACATTCATTCAGATATACACAAAGATAGGTTAGCACAGCAAACAAGAATTCCCTATTGATGAACAAATTAAGGAACAGCAGTCTCTAAAAGATAAACTCTATACTCAATCAAAAGAGAAGGAGGACAGGGCTGACCAAATAGCTCAGCAGATTAAAGCACCTGCAAGCAGGCGCAGGGGCCAGGGGTTCAATCCCTGGGCCTGCCGTGCCGGCCCCGCCCCCAGGGTGCGCTGAGATGGCAATTGAGACTGGGCATAGTGGCACACGCCTGTAATCGGGGAGGCTGTAAACAGGTAGATCACTATGAGTCCGATCTAGTAATGAGACCCTGAACACCCTGTAGACCCTTCCCTAAAATACAAAAAAAAATTAAAAATAAACAAAGAGAAGCAGGGTTGAACTTAAAGAGCGCTTAGTGAATATGCAGCTCCCAGGGTGGACAAGGCTAGATCCTCTTCCTCTCAGCAGAGTATGTGGAATATAACAGAACTGACCTGTCAAACCTGCAGAACTGCTAAACAGCAGTCACTGGTGGAAATGTGCAGTGAAATGGCTTCTGGGTGGGTACATGTGACAGGGAATGGGGAGGTTTCAGATCACATACAGCTTTCATCGAATGAGTCACACAGAACAAAACCAAAGTCACCTCTTAAAGGTCTGTGTTCCCTCTGTCTGTCTGTTAGAAGAATTTGTTCTTTGTTGGAATGTCACGGATAACCTTAAGGCAAAACTAGCCATGTCCTGGTGTTGCTGCTTCTCCTCTGGTTAAATCAGTGAGCTGTGACAGATCTCTTCCCTCTTGTACAGAAAACACATCAAAAGAATCCTCTATTTCATGTACCAAACTAGGGCCTACAGAGCAGAGGTCTGTAAAGATGAAGAGGCACCCAGCTTAGCTGCACGCTGCTCTTGGGTTTGGTAAAGTGTATAAGCGGGAGATGGTATCTGATGGCCAAGTGAAGGCTCCCTTGGGGGACTCAATCCCTCATGATATGTTAATGTCTGTTGGGAAGAATGATGCGGGCTTCTCTCTGGGATGAATGTAACTTGAACTAGCAGCCACTTGCGATCACCGACAGCCATCAGAAAGGGGAAGGTCTTGGTACAAAGGTTCTCTAGAACATCCTATTGCAAAGGCTCAACTGCCACCAACCAATGGAAAAATAGATTTGTGATTGGCAAGTGTTATAGTTGTTGTGAATATACGAAGTTAGCAGGTGGCGGTCCAACTTGCAGGGCAGTGCACCTGCTAGCTTGCAGTGCAGGATGACTGCCAAGCAATGAATTTTCTCTGAAACGTCTTAATCACTGCATATGGCATTACTTTGTCTTTCCTAATGACAGTAGTATTTAAACAATTTTTGGCACCACCCAAAGCAAAGGTCCCATGTTACCTTGTTAAAGAAACTGCTGGCTGGATTCATGCAACAGTAATTTTTAAAAATTGCATGGTGTTCATTTTGCATGTGTGAGAAGAAAAGTGAAACCAATTTGGTCTATTTCTTTTTCTTTCTGCAAGTCAGGTAAGGTTTTTTGTAAAACTTGCTGCATAAAGGGGGAAGGTAAGCACCACAGACCTTGTCATGAATTACATTAATGCTCATTGTCTTTATCAAAGTTCCTAGAAACTAAGTAGCTTTAATAGCCTAATATTTCTATTCGAGGCAGAGTAGCCTGGTTTGTGTCTCCTGTACGTGTACAGCGTGTTCACTTGAACCAAACATTGGCTAAAGCAGGAGGATCAAGGAATTGTGCTCTTAACTGATTATTTTTACATCATACAAGTAACTGATTATTTTTAAGCCATACTATGTTCTTTTTTTTTTTTGTATTTTAGGGAAGGGTCTACAGGGTGTTCAGGGTCTCACTACTAGATCGGACTCGTAGTGATCCACCTGTTTACAGCCTCCCTAGAGCTGGGATTACAGGTGTGTACCACCATATCCAGCCTCAATTGCCATCTCAATACACCTGGGAGGCAGGGCCGGCACGGCAGACCTGGGGATCGAAACACCTCGGTCCCTGTGGCAGCTTGCAGGTGCTTTAATCCACTGAGCTATTTGGCCTGCCATTTTAATGCTTTTTGTTTTTTGTCTTGTTTTTGTGGCCAACTCAGCCCTGAGGGCGGGGCTGGCGTGGGTGGCATGTGGTGCTGGGGCTCGAAACAAAGTCCCTGCAAGTTGCCTAAGCTTGTCCAATCAAGTGCTTTAGACCACTGAGCTATCTCACTGGCCTCATACTATGTTCTTAAAGGTAATTTGTACAAACACATGCATTTTCATTTTATCTAGTATAGAAATGAAATCCTTTTTTTTTTTTTTTTTTTTTGCTGTACCGGGGATTGAACTCAGGGTCCTGTGATTGCCAGGCAAGCATTTATTCTACTGAGTTATCTCCCCAAGCCCAGAAATGAAATTTTTTAAGGAGGAATAGTTACACTTGAAAAAAAATTTAATCAAGGTGATTTTTTTTTTTTTCAAGGCAGATGCTTGATTTCAAATTCTGTACATTTTTCTTGGGAAAAATTTGTGAAGGTTCTTTGTGTAAGTGTTATATTTAGTGAAGATATTACAGAGAGTTTTCTGGAAAATGAAGAAAAAGCTATATCATGATTTCAAGAAAGTGCCAGCAGAAAATTAAACCAAGCTTAGGACTTTCTAGTACATGACCACCAACCTGGTGCTGCTTGTCTTTGGTGCTGGAGTGAGACAGGAAATAAGCAGAGGAACTCTCTTTGTTCTGAAATCCGGCTCTATCCACCAGCTCCCAGAGCCACCAGAGCCATGGCGCAGCCAGGTGTGGGATGCTACCTGAAATTCTCATTGCTCTTTCCCTTCCAGACTGCTTGTCTTACTCAGCTTTACAAGTACTGTCCAGAAGGTGCTATGGGAGGCAGAGATGCAAAGTCCTTGTCAACAATTCCCACTTCGGAAGCCCCTGTCTGCCAGGAGTGAAAAAATACCTCACTGTCACCTATGCGTGTGGTAAGAGTCAACTCTGAAGGAGCTCGGTGAAGCCCCGGCCTCTCTGGGAAGTGGCGATGGAGCCAACAAAAGGAGATTGCGTGCAACAAGCCAAGCAGTTCTACACCCCAAACGCCCTACTCATCCCAGACTTTCTGGATCCCCTGTACTATCCTTTCTTCTTATTTGTGACACACATCAGATAAGCAATAGAATTTTCTATGGTCAAAACTTGTTTTGAAAAGTGCTTCTTGCAATCAGATCGGCAGCAGATAGGAGGAGCAGAAGGAGAACGAGCAACTAGGGATAAAGTTGATGTCATTGAGAACCGTGATTCTAATCTATGTTCTTAAGGAGTTCTGAAATTTATTGGTGTGTCATACAAGTTCACAGAAGTATTGTTTGGCTTCTATTTAACCTTCCAGCCCCGCTTTTAGGCCCTAAATGACTAACTTGCTATGCTGCCAACAGCTGTTTTATCTACATACCCACAGCACTGAATCAACAGATCAAATGCATCCCTAAAACAATTAAAAATGTTACATGGCAGCATTACTTTGTTTTCCTAATGTCTTCAAATAATAAAATGAAATGCCTGCTTTGTTTAGATTCCAGTTTCGCAAAGGTATATAAAAGCAAATCGGCAGTTAATTATCTTCTTAGGCATGATGGATGTCCAGTTTGTAATCCTAATACTTTAACTGTTTTTCCTTAAATGAGCATAAAAGCAGAAGGAAAAGAAAGAGCTCTATCTATCACTGGAGAACTTGATACCTTCTACCCTGCCAAGTATCTCTAGCCTTTTGTTGTAGTTACAGCTTTATTGAGATAGAATTCATAGACCACACAATTCACCCATTAAAATATACAAATCAATAGTTTTTAATATATTCATGGAATTACGCAACCGCAGTGCATTTGAGAACATTCTAATCTCTCTGTAGCATCACACCTCCCAGGCCGCCCAGTCTAGCCCACCACTACCCCAGGCGGTCACCAGTCTGCTTTCTGTCTCTATGCCATTGCTTCTTGGGCACATTTCATGGGAGCGGATTGGAGTTGGAAAGCCCGACAATAAGACCTAACTGGAAAATAAATGCTGGCCATTATCACTGTGATGGCCAGTGTCTGGCGGAAGATTGTACCCCAGCAGTCTCCTGATCTGGGGCTGCTCTAGAAGGCAGGTAAGGCAAGGTGATTTGGGCTGCCATTTTTGATCTCTACTTTTCAAGGCGGATTGTTTTATGGTTAGGTTTTATTTTCAAAGAAACACTGTTGTTTTTGTGTCCAACTTCCTAGTATATGTTTTCAAGGTTCCTGTATATTGTAGTATTCCTTTTCATGGCCTAATAATATTCCACCACCTCCCTAGACTTCTATATATTGAACCAAAATTTTGCTCCCTACAATATCAGTGATAACAGGTTTAAAGATGTGACTACATAATCATATCCCTGATGTAGTGCCACCCACACCTACTCTGCAGGAAAGCTGAGTTTATCTGCTTAGTGTTTTTTCCTGCTATGGTGCTTAAGCACCTCTGGGTGACATTAGGTCCATCTAGCGGAGATTCCCTAGAAGCCAACGTAGTTCACCTTGAGAATCCAGTACCTTCAAACTGCTCCCACTGAGTGTTGGGTGAGACCCGCGACTTTAACCTGCCAGTAAGTGATGCTGCTGTGCCTAAAGGATGAGGCAACTGCGGTTATGAGGGCCAGGGCTTCCCTTAGCTGACAGCAAGAGGGTGAGCTTGGCAGGGCTGCACAGGGGTCCATCTGGCTGACTGAAGCTTTGATTCTCTCACTCATTCCCTCTGCACACTGTGGGCATGTTCTGAGTGGCAGGAGCTGTGTCAGGTGCTGAGGATTCAGTAGTATTCAGAACAACAGAGCCAGGGGCCAGGTGGGCATTAAACAAAGAACCAGACAATTCTACCATCCCCTGGTGTGAAAAGTGCTGTATCAGAAAAGGGCAGGGTACTGTGAGAGAGGCTAACAGTGGCACCAGACAGGACCAGGTTAGATTCTCTGGGGTCTCCAGAGGGAGTTCCCTGGGACCTTCACATGGGAAGTCCAGTAATCAGATTCTGAATACACGGGAGACTGTGTTACTCTGCCTCCTTGATTTTAGAAATGGCACATGACTCGGCGTGACCGACACTTTTAGACTGTCACAAGAAAGCAGGGTGGGAGCTCTCCCTATGCTCTGGGTCTTTATGATGTGATGGAAAAGATGCTGGCATGGGGGGAGGGCAGTGAATTGGGGCAGGGTTGAGGCAGGAGGACAGTGGAAGGCAGGAGGCGGACATGACTCAGACGTGGCACTGGCAGCATAATCGTTGGCAGGCTCTGACAAGTATCTGGCACAGAGAAACACACTCAGGGCAATGTTATACTGGGAGGATGGGGCATGGTTGCTGCTGAGTGGATGGACTGATCTTTGACATGAGGGTGAGGTATGTCTCTCATTGTAGCAGGGGGAAGAGGCCATGGGAATAGTGGGTGAGGGTAGGTCTTGGAGTTCCCTTGGTATGGCCTCTCTCTCCAAAAAAGTTGATGTAGTCACCAGCTGTGGCTAATAAGGGAAGAGGAGAGGGGTCTGCAGAGAGGAGGGAAAATTTAACAGAAGTGCCATGGTGGTGGGCAGGCGGAAGGGAAGGCACTGCCAGACATGATAGAAGCCCATGTAAAACTAGTGAGCAAAGTCTATAGGGACAACTGGTCTACCCAGTTGTGCAGTTCCTCAGCTGCCCAAGAGTAGATGTGAGGAATAGCGTTCCCTCCAAGTTCAGCAGCAACAACCAAGGAGGGAGAATGTGTTTCCAATGAGTGATTATAATGATAAGGGGTTAAATCCATGCTGGAGAAAAACTGAGCTGAAGGGTTAGATAAGGTAAGGAACTGAAAGCTGGTTATGGTAGTGTATGCCTGTAATCCCAGATCTTGGGAGGCTGAGGCAGGAGGATCACCATGAGTTTGAGGCCAGCCTGGACTACATAGCGACACCCTGTCTCAAAAACAAAAGAAAACAAAACCAATACTGGGCATGGTGGCACATGCTTATAATCCCAGCATTTGGGAGGCTGAAAACAGGAGGATCATTATGAGTCTGATCTGTGTAGTGAGACCCTGTAAATCCTGTACTAAATACATTTTTTAAAAGTTAAATAAATAAAATAAATAAATAAAAATTAAAAGTTGAATAAAAAAAAAGAACTGCAGAGGGAAGCGTTAGTGAGTTCACTTGAAGGTTAGGAGGCTGAGGTCAGAAAGGGCACGTTTAGATCTTTTTTTTTTATATGGGGAGGAAATGGGCATTTTGAGGGTGCCTTTTCTCTTTCCCCAAGGGTCTCATAATTCTTCCCAAAAGATGAGAGCTGACAAGATGATGGTGCAGGATTTGGAGGGGCTCATGCCTTTGGGGCACCTATGGAAGACTAAGGTCATATAGAAATAATTTTTGTCATGAATGTAAATAATCATTTAGGCCACACATGGTGGCACATGCCTGTAAGTCTAGCACTCAGGAGGCTGAGATGAGAAAATTGCTGTGAGTTTGAGGCCAGTCTAAGCTACTTAGCAAGTTTAAGGCCAGCCTGCACTACATACTATGCCTCTGTCTCAAAAATAAAATAAAATAAAGTCTAAACCAAAAAAAAGAGATAATCATTTGGGGACCTGAGTTCATTCTCTGAAGCCTTCTTTATTAAAATCTGCACTGACTCAGGTTTGACACAAGTTTATTGCCAATCAACCAATAAATCAATGGGACAATCAAGATGAGGTCTATGCCCAAATGTAGCAAACCACCTAAATTCATTAGAATCTTCATCTTTGATTTCAGCAACACAGACTCAAAAGGGACAGCTTGAGGGAGAATCACTTTACCATCTTTAGAAGCCTCTGGAATAATCTTTGGTCTTCTTCCCAGAAGCTGAATGTGCCAGGGATGTCACAGCATCACGGAAAGAGGGAGGGTGTTGTGCAGAGCACACCAGGAGTTGAAGCTTTTCCTTTTCCTTTTGAGCCTTGCTTGTCCCATCTGCAGGAAAGGGATTGACACACATATTCACCAGGCCACTAGAAGGACTGTGCAGATGCATCATGCAGCCTTCCCAGGAGAGGGTCTGCCACATATTAGGAATCCCAGAAGAGTGCTTTGAGAGTTTTCATGAATGCCTCAAGAGTGCAGAACAGCAGCCTTAGGGAATGACAAATTATACCCGCTCTCATCCTCATTCTAAACCAGCTGGTAAAATCTGGCAGTTGTATTGACACATTATTTTAAATATCCTAAAAAATTCTTCCAATATCACAGCCATCCTCCACAAGTGGGCATGTTTCTCATAATGGTCTGCATTCCACACAGGCGATGTGATCTTATGAGCTTGGTTATTCTCGAAGCTTACCCTAGGAGACCCTTCTGCGAGCTCCTTTATGAGATTCTGACTCTTCCTTGGATGTGAAGTCTGTGGCATTTGCACAGAGCAAAAGTCCTTCTCAGATCGTGTTTTGAGAATGAGCCAAGCAACAGATGTGAGAACGTGCCACTGCTAGCAGGGAAAGAGGGCCTGTTGCTTTTAGGGGCGTCATTCTTGGGACCCAGAAATAAGCGAGAGTTACCAAGATAAAAAGCGTGTTGTGGCAGTGCGGCTCAGCTCTCTGGTGTTGCTGGGGTCCTGCTGAGCCCTGTGGTCAGCCGAAGGTCATTTTCCATGGCCTCCTCACATGTCCCTCCAGAAAGTGGCCCTTGCTGCTAATGGACAGGAAGGCTCCAGGGCCTCCTATACATGGACAGGTCACAACCCAGCCTTCTGACTATTGGTCTAGGGGCATCCCCCCCAAATTTTAGTTGGGCAGTCTGAGAACAGACATGAGGTTTCCTTGTTGTGAAGATGTCTTGCTTTTTCTTTTTTAAAAAAGCAGTGCAGTTTAGCTTACAGAGCTTGTGTTGGCTTCACTTGTACTTCCTGTTGCTCCTTCTCCGAGATAGCAGCTGGGCTCAATGACAAACGTAAATAAGCAGTTCTCTGCAGCTCAGGGACTCATTTCCTCTCCCTTCTCTGAGTCTGCAGCAGGCAGTCGGCTTGGTCTTTCTGGACTCTTGTGCTCTGTGTCTGCGGCTGCTCTCACCAGCTTCTCTGCCTACTTTCTGGCACTTCGTGGTCCTGGCATGAGTGGTGAGTCTTCACAGAAGTTCACGCAGGAGTGAAAAGCTTTCTGGAGAGGCTACTGAAATACCTTGATACTTTCTCAAACTAATTACAATTCAGTGATAGTCAATAAATTTAGAGCTGCGCAGCCACCACCACACTCCAGCCTTACTAGACTTGGTCTTCACCAAAGGCTAAGAAGCGATGTGCAGTCCGATGGTGGAATAGTTCCAAGATCTCAAAAAGTTTTCCAGGCTCATCAGCAATCACTTCCCTTTCCTGACTCTCATCCCAGAGAACCGCTCATCTTCTTTCTGTCTCTACTTCCACTTCTGCTAGATATTTCATGTAACTGAAATACTACAGTATGTGGTCTTTGGTGCCTGGCATCTACCACTGAACATCATGTTTTCGGGGATCATCCTTCTAGCATGTATTAACATTTATCTTTGTTATTATTAATTACATTCCATTGGAGGGATGTACCATAACTTGTGCATTGGTTTCCCATGTTTTCTTTTTGTTTGTTTGTTTGTTTTGTGCCCAGCTCAGCCTGCCTTGGGGGCAGGGTTGGCATGGCATGTGGTGCTGGGGATTGGACCATGGTCCCTGCGCTTCCCTAAGCTTGCCTAAGCAGGCGCTATAGACTGCTGAGCTATCTTGCTGGCCCCTCATGTTTTCTTTTTGCTAGTGCAAAAATGGGCCTATAACTTTGCCTTTGTGGAACATTTGATGACCATGCACATACTTTTGTTGTATGTGGGTGGATGCATGTGTCCACCCACATGCATCCATGTGTATGTGTGTGTGTGTGTCCATTATACATAAGCAGGTGAGTATGTCTGTATATGTGTGTGTGTGTGTGTCCATTGTATGTGGATGGGTCGGTGTGTCTGTGTATGTGGGTGGGTCGGTGTGTGTCTGCGTATGTGGGTGGTGGGTGGGTGTGTCCATGTATGTAGGTAGGTGGGCGTGTCTGTTGTATGTGAGTGTGTATGTCCATTGTATGTGGGTTAGTGGGTGTGTCCATTGTATGTGGGTGAGTGTGTCTGTGTATGTGGGTGAGTATGTCTGTGTATGTCAGTGGGTGGGTGTGTCTGTATGTGGGTGGGTGGGTATGTCTGTGTATGTGGGTGAGTGTATCCATGTATGTGGGTATGTGTCCATTGTATGTGGGCGTGTGTGTCCATATGTGGGTGGGTGAGTGTGTCTGTTGTATGTGGGTGAGTGTGTCCATGTGTGTGGGTGGGTGTGTCCATGTATGTGGGTGAGTGTCTGTTGTATGTGGGTAGGTATTTCCATTGTATGTGTCCATGTATGTGCATCCATGTGCATATCTGAAAGGCAGTATGAACAGTTCTTTTTTTTTTGTTTTTTTTTTTGTATTTTAGGGAAGGTTCTACAGGGTGTTCAGGGTCTCACTACTAGATTGATTCATAGTGGTCTGCCTGTTTACAGCCTCCCGAGAGCTGGGATTACAGGCATGTGCCACCACGCCCAGTCTCAGTTGCCCTCTCAGGGCACCCTGGGGGTAGGGCTGGCACAGCAGGCCAGGGATGGAACCCCCGGCCCCTGCGCCTGCTTGCAGGTGCTTTAATCCACTGAGCTATTTGGCTGGCCCATGAACAGTTATTCAACCGACTTAAAAAGTGGCTTTTAAATACTACCTACATTCTAACTTAAACATTTTTAATTTAATTTCTTATTAATGTGTTTGTACATAATACTTAGGTTCCTTTTGAGGAATTTGCACATGTACATGATACATCTTCATTCCTTTTTTATCCCTTTTTCTTTCCTCCCCCCTCCACCTGCTGATGCCTTTCCCTCTTTAGACAGATCTGTTTCCCTGCTTCCTAGCACCTTTTGTTTTGCTCCTTATAATCTGGCTTTCTCATATAAAAGAAGCTGCGTGGTACTTAGGCTTGTGTCTGATTTATTTCACTTGGCATTATGTTCTCGAGCTGCACCCATTTTCCTACTCAAGGTTGTCTTTCTTTCTGGCAGAGCAGTGCTCAAACATATATTGATACACAATTTTAAAAAATATACTAAGTCTTAAAAGTATTTCTTTTTGGTTTTTAGTTCCCAAGAGCATACTCACAGCGATTGATCCAGCCATTGGTGACCTGAAGCCTACTGTGTCACAGGAACCTGTTGAACATGGTAATTTTTATGGCTTGCCTCCAGCATTTCTCATTAAGTAAAGGTCAGCATGGGGCCAGGGAAATGGCTCAGTAGAATCAGCACTTGCCTGGCAAGTGCAAGGGCCTGAGTTCAATCCCGAGTTCCACCAAAAATAAAATTAAATTAAATTAAAAAAAAAAAGTCAGCAGTCCCCCGACCACAGTCTGGCACACACTGGACAAAATGCAAGAGGATGTTAGTAGGAGTGTCAGCCGGTGGCTGCACATGGTGCCGGCATTTTGGTTTTGTTTTGGCCTTTTAAAATCTTAAGTAGAATAAGCTTCTCCTCAATTGTCCTATTGCTTCCTAAAAGAAATGTGAGTTCAAACAAGCTTAAAAATCAATTGGGCTCCTAGCTTTTACAGCGAGCTTGTTGAAGAAGTGATCTTGTCAGGAGGCTGGGTGGGGTGAATCCCAGCCCACCTCCATTCATCTGCTACCCTCTTCCTTGGGTTCTCACTTGAATTCTGTAAAGTGTATGTGGGGTGTGAACAGCTGCTTTTTAAAATCAAATCTAGAATGAAATTGAACCCTATGAGTTCCAAGTAGAAACTACAGCGGCCCAGTACAACACTGGGCTCTAGGTAGCAAGCATTTGATCTTTCATTACTTTTATTATAGTTATTAACTGATTCCCCTATAATTATAAAAGCAAATTTGGCCACTTTGCTCACTCTGGGACAAAACCAACACCCACAACTCAAAGCAGGAGGCTTACTTTAGCTCACAGTGGTATTCTATGCTTAGCTAGCTCAAAGGCAGAAAAGACACAGGGGAGCAGATTGCTGAGGAAAACCATCCTGCCCTGACAGCCAGGAGGCAGACAGAGGGCTGGTTTGGGGACGAGAATGCTGCACGTTCTTCCAGGTCAAGTCCTCAGTGCCCTTCCTCCAACCAGGCCCCACCAGCCTAGCAACACATTCAGTAGTGGCCCCGGGACCCAGTCACCTTCTGAGCTCATGAAACTTTTAAGGAACACTGTAGATCTAAGCCAGAACGGCAGTTCTCTATCCACATCTATGGTGATGGGTTCCAGGACCTCTCGCAGACACCAAGATTGGAAGATGCCGAAGTCTTTTATATAAATTGGCCTCAGATTCGGTTATCTTCTGTACAATTTGCATCATCTCTAGATGACTTAAAATCGCTAATACTATTTAAATGTTAACAGCTGTGGAAATAATGACAAAATAAAAGAAATTTGTACATGTCCAAGAGAGATGCATTGCCTCCTGAATATCTGTTATCTGTGGTTGGTTGAGTCCCTGGATATGAAACCCTCAGAAACAGAGGTTTAAATATATACTTTGACTTTATTTATACTTCTTCATATGGAAAGCACTCAGAAATAAAGTCATTCCCTAGTCCAAAGCTCTGAAACAGCCGCTGGTGATCCTCCCCTGGTTCACCACCTTGCCTTCTTCCAGGCTGTGTCTCAGTCTTCTACTTCCTCTAACCCTAACAAGGCTCCCACCTGGTCCTTAAATCCCTCCCCGCGGCAGTTGAAGCATGAGGTGTGTGCCATCTTTCTGATAGGCATCTACCCTGTCTGACATCCCCAGGGGTCCCCTAAGACTCCGGAAAGCCCCCTCACCAGCTTGCTAAGCTCCATCCAACCATATCACCAGTACCTGGAAGGTGATCAGCCCAAATTTTTGTCATCTAAAAAAACAAACAAACAACAACAACAAAAAAAACCCCAAAAACCCTAGCTCATCACAACCTCCCTCTATAGTCCAAGGTTTGTCTTATCTTCTGGTCCACAAAGTAGATAACGGCTCATGGTTAAAAGGAAATGTTATTTATGACTTCAAGAGGCATGGAGAATGCCATTGCTCTTGAGATGGAAAAATGCATTTTTTTTCTTCATTGTAGTGGATGAACCTCACCAGAAGTTGGAGTCAACATTTTTAAAGTCTCAGATTCCTTTTATTGTTCTGTAAATGCTTGCTTATTAAGTGTTTTTCCTGGCTTAATATTCCATAATTTAGCCCAAAGCCTATTTATTTGATTTCCTTTTTGACTTTTGATTATTATGACAGTCCTGGGTGAGGAACAGCAGGGGTATCTTAGAACACGTGTTCTGTATGAACAACCCTGATTAACTGCTTTTGCATTTTTCAAAACACAGGTATAAACTTTAACCCAAGTGAGTCAGAAGTTCTGCGAAAAGATGGAGTTATTGTGAGCAACTCCCTGGCAGCGTTCGCTTACATTAGAGGTAGGTCCGTGAATCGATGCTTCCTGGAATGCTAACAGATTTGTTCAAGCCTTATTAACAAATGCACCATTCAATTACAACACTCAGTCACTAACGGCATACGGCTCTTAATTTGACACAGCGTCTGCTGTGTTCCAAGATCCAGAAACACAGAAGCCCAAATTTCAAGTACAGCTGCAACCAGGCAACCGACAGAGAATCACAAACATAAAGCCACATTATTTAGGGCTTGGACTCCACAGGTATTTTCCCCCTTGAAATGTTGGAATACATTTCCTAGGGCTAAAATTGGGAAGGACATGGGATGATTGAGTTCTACTCGCACCTGGAAGAAAAATGAGTCCGATCACTTAGTAAATAAAATAGGTCATGCCCCCACGAAGGCACAGTCACAGGTATTATTTCCCATGGCTGCCAAGGCTTCCTCTGCTGATCTTTCTTTCAAGGATCAATCAAACAGCCCTCATGAACTGGCAGGGCCAAAAGTTTGTACCCAGCCTGGTCATGTTATAGATTCTCTTTGCTAAGGTACAAACTAGCTTTCCTTGTCACTGTCTCTGCTTATCTGCAAACCAGTCATGCTTTGGAATGTCAACTGCAAGTTTGCACAGTTCCTGCCTGCCTGTTTAGGGTTACTGTGTTCATCAGCTTCCCATCACTGCCTCTTAATATCTGACAGAGCACATTGGTCAGTTTTCTTGCTGTTCAGAGGAAATACGTGACACCCATCACTTAAAGGAGGAGAGAGCTCATTTGGTTCATGGGTTCAAAAGGTTCAGTCCATAGTCAGCTACTTCCAAGGCAAGAACATCATGGTAGAAGGAGAGCTCAGCAGAGCAAGGCTGCTTGGCTCATGGCCACTAGGAGCAGAACAGGGGAACAGTGCCAGAGAGGCACGGTGAAGACCAGAGAGAGCACCCAGGGTTACCTCTCCATGACCCGCCCTGACACATTCAGAAGTGTGCTTTGCTAGTTCCTTGGGAAGCTCAACAGCCAATCAAGTGGGCAGTCCATTTAACTGTCTCACACAGGCCACATACAAAGTAAAGAGATGTTTATTTTGGCTCATGGTTCTTGAGGTTCAAGTCAAAAATTAGACTGCCCTACCTATCACTCTGGGCCTGTGGAAAGGGTGGCCTGTCATGATGGGAGCCCTTGTCAGAGTGAGTAGTCCCATCTCTCTCAAGCCAGAGCAGAGAGAGGAAGATATTAGGGTCCCTCAGTCCCTTTTGAGGGTGTGCTACAAATGATGTAAAGACTTCCCAACTGACCCCTCCTCTCGAAAGTCCAAAGCTCCTCCCACTGCTACCATCCCAAGGACCAAATTTCTACAGAGATCTCAGGGAGGCACTCATCGAAGCCATAGCAGAAGCCACAGCAAACCCTCTGAGACCGTCAGTCAACACACATTAATGTGATACATCGAAGCACTAGTAATTAAGGCCTGGTGGATCCTAGACTTGGGAATAAGCATTACTCAGAGGGAAATAGAGGCTTAAGAAAATATGTCAGTGCAGAAGACAGAGAGTCCAGTCCCTCCACGCTGTGTTTCCACCATCTCTCACATCAGTGTTCCTCCTCTGGGGCTGTCATGTGGTGTCTGGTGACCTGTCTCTTTCATTTTCATAACCAACCTCCACTCTCTATATCTTGCTGGTCCTGCTAAGTCTCAAAGTTAAGAAATGGCAAGATTTTTATTGTCAGAAATATCACCTAATTTCAAAGTCCCTGGAGAGCCTCCTGGGAGGAAAATCATCATGAAGTTCCTCCAGAGAATGGTGATGGAAGAGAGGTGACAATGACATCAACTGCTGAACTACAGGCTGGCTGCATGCTTTGCTGTAGGTCACCTGTCACATCCTTGCCACTGGTGCCTTGTTCCGCTCTGCTTTCAGATAAGCAGCTTAAGTATTTGGGACCACAAGTCTTATGTTCCAGGTTGTTCCAGGTGCTAACTTATTCAATTTCTGGTAAGGGCCTTTCCTCACTCACTTGTAGACAGCCATCTGCTTGCTGTGTCCTCTCTTGGAAGAGAGGGGAGGAGACAGAGGACAATAGAGAGATCTTATAAAAGCACTCATCTTTTTTTTTTTTTTGGTGGTACCAGGGATCAATCTCAGATCTTGCATTTGCCAGGCAAGCACTTATTCCACAGAGCTATCTCCCCAGCCCCCAAAGCACCCATCAGATTAGGTCCCCATACTTTGGACCTCCATTAACAAACTCCTATAAACTTCATCGTCAATAACTGTCATGTTGGGGTTGAGACTTTAACATGTGAATTTTGGGGAGCACAAATCATTCCATAACAACACCCTGAAAGATGAGACTCTGACCCACCACCGTGCACTGAAGAAGCAGAGGGTCAGAGCAGCTGAGCCCTTTATCTGGGGGCACCATGGACAGCGGCCCAGCAGGACAAACCTATTGCGTTGGCTTCTCATAGCCCTTATGTTGCTGCCTATCTTGGCTTCCCGCCGGCCCTGTCTGACCTTTATCCTACTCAGTCCCACCAATCGTAGGATAGATGGATCTGCGAGTGCCTGTCTCCCTAGGACCTGCCAAGCTCCTTAGGGCCAGCGCCTGCCATCTCATCTCCTATGCACCCCTGTGTCTGCTGGTGCAGAGGAGGAACATGGTGAGCAGTTAGCAGACGGCCAGGCTAAACCACAGTGCGAGCCACTCTAGGCCTTGTTATCACCCAGAAGTTGCTATTTTTAGATCATTGTTTAAAATGTGAGAATGTGATGGGCTGTTTCTGGCTTTATTGAGATATCTTTAGGTATAACCATTGCAGCAAGCCAAGCCCAAGCCTGAGTTTAATGCTCAGAAAAAGCAGCTCTATATTCTTGGTGATGGCTGCTAGTTAAATGAAATTATCAGAGGTTCACGAAGGTCCCAGGGGAACAAGTGCCTCCAGGCTGCCTGTGTTGCTCCCTGCTCGGTCGCTCTAGTTGTGGCAGCGTGCAGCACTTGGTCTGTGGTCCACAGGGCAGTGCCCTGCAGTGGTGCCAGGTGAAGCTGGTTCAGCCCAAGCCAGCAGTGCACTAACAGACAGTGTGAGCTGATGCCAAGCACTATCCTCATCCCCGCTGGAGGGAGGCGCTCAGCTAGCTCTCAGGCACATCCTCACCCATGCTGGGCGGACAGAGGTCTCAAAAGGAGAGGCCAGTGGCAGGAGCAGCAGGGAAGCAAGAGCATGATCAGGCCAGGCTGCAGCCCCGCCTCGCCAAAGGGTGGGTACATTGAGTGATCCCCAAAGGACCTTTCCCCGGCTCAGGCTGCTAGCAACTTCAGCACATTAGTGCAGTCAGCTCAGCACAGGCACAAGCGGACGAAAATCAGTCGAGGGCCTGGTCCTGCGCTCAGGAAACACAGAGGTTGGTGAGAGGCACATGAGACTCTCCAAGTATCCCTGACAGATAGTTTCTTGGGGCCATTTGAGTGATCTATGGGATATTTTCCAAACAGGAAAGTTTGAAGTTAGAGGTGTAGAAAGGAAGGGGTGTGAGCATGGGGGTGTGTATGTGGTGGGTGCATGTGTGTGCATGCGTGCATTCGTGTGTGTGTGTGTGTGTGTGTGTGTGTGTGTCTGTGTGTCTGTGTGTGTCTGTGTGTGTTAAGAAGGCACTTTCCTAGCTGGCTCAGCATGAGCCCTTGTCCTCTGGCAGATTATGCCTGAGGGGACTTATTTATTCAGACAGTCTTGCTTCAGAACAGGACCCTTCCCACTCCTAATTAGTAACTAACCTAATTATGTCTTCCTGGCATCTGGCTGCCGTGTTTACCTCATCAGTGCCTGCAGGCATGCCTTTTGTGGCCCAGTACTTCCGTCCCTGCCCCTACTGTTTGAGACTGTATTGAGTGTGTGTCTTCAGCCTGTGACAGACACAGCTGGGGTAACTGGGGCCCAGGGTAAGGCAGACCTGGAGGGGACAGGTTCACAGCGTTCCCTGGGGATGGGGGCATCATAGTTTCATGTGAAAGCTGCTCTCGCATATCAGCAGACTCATAAGGAATACAAGTTTAATTACACATTCCACAGTCACAGCCACTGATCCCCTGCCAGGGAGGACAATCTGAGATCAGCAGTGCCTTGTCGCGTAGGTGTGGGCTCTGATGTGTTCCCACAGTCCCCAACCTTTGGTTCTATGACAGAAAGTTACTGTCACATCCCTAAGTGCTGTCAGACAAGGCTCTGGGACACTTTGTCCTTTCTCTTAGAGGTCCCTGGCCCCAGCTGCTGCCTGGTTCCTTCCGATGTTAGTCAAGCTCCGAGAGGTGAGACCTTTGCTTGGCTCCTGAGCGTCTCGTCTGGACACAAATAAATTTGAGCAGCATTGTGCTGGCCACAGGACCCAGATCGAAGTGTTGAAAGAGGCCTTAAGGACCACTGGCTGAGGGGCCCAAGAGCAAATTACAGATGACAAAATGCAAGCTATTCCATCCAGCTCGTGAAGAACATGGTTAATTTAGAACATTACCAACAAAAACAGTATGAAGAGATGATTCAATATCAACCACATTATTAATTCAGTGTATGTAAAAGAGGCCCAAATGATCCCAGAAGGCAGATGAAATGTTTTTATGTAAAGCCTGGGTCTATATGAGAAGCTCCAGCCTGGACCTGGGGCCCCAACCAATGGTGGCTTTGGACCAGTGACTTAGTTGCAGTAGGACAGGTTGGGCCAGTTCATCTCCAAGATCCCTTCTGACTACCACTCAGGGATTGTGTGGATCCCTGATGGATTTAAACTGATGGATTCAGGTGGATAGGAAGCCTGATTCTACCTTGTCAAGAGTTTCCTGTGCTCCCCTTTGGCCACTGGGTCTTGGAGGGTTGGTGTGGGTGAGTCCTGGAGAGGAAGGATGTGGCAGAAGTATACCTGAGCCGTGAGGGAGCAGGGTCCTAGGAATGAGAAGCTGTGTGGGCAGCAGGGCCCAGTACCTCCTCCCTGGAGAAGAGGAAGAGAGAACCTGGCTCTGTGGAGCCCCATCCACAGGACACCACACCTAGTGCTTTACCCCAGGACCCCTCCCTAGACTAGGGCAGGTAGAGGTGTGGTGGGCCAGCTGAGGCAGGAGAAAGAGCATTCCAGGCTGAAATAAGAGTGTGTGCAAATGCACCAAAGGGGGAGTCCTCCAGCACACAAGAGGCCTGGACCATGCGCCAGAGCAGATGACAGGAAGTCTCATGGGAGATGGAGTGTGGCAAGCCTGTGTCATTGCAAGCATTGCAGGCTGTGGCCAGGACTTAACTTTGAGTTTGCTAGAGGAGGGAGACAATTTACAGGTTTTAAGTCAGACAAGTATAAGAGCAGACGTGTGCTTTTGGAAAGGTAGAGAGTGGCCACATGGGAAGGTGAGTGACAGGGACAAAGCAGGAGACTGGAAACCAGTTGTCATCTGGGAGATGAGAACAGTGCTCATCATTGTATTTGTTCAGACAAATTCACTCGGTTAAAAGACAATGCAATAGAGGTGAAAATGCAAGCCACTCATGAAGAACCAGTAGCAGTAAACTGTAAAAACATTATTATTGAGAATATATAGAATATTTGTGTATTTTTTGTACATAAGAGGGAACTTCAGACCACGCAACAGAAACGCCAAGTGTACAAGTGACACACACTAGCATTGTAAGAAGAGGAATTACCGACACATGTGCATCTGGGAAATGCAGGTCAAAATCATAGCAAGCTACAGTTGTACACCAATGTGACTGAAAAATTAAAAGTCTGTCCCAACAAGCGCTGGGGAAGAGGAGGATTCAAGGACTTCTCACACACCACAGCCATTTGGGAACCACTGGGGAAGAATTTTCTAAAATTGAAATCCATGGACGCTGAAGCCCATCTGGTTGCCTCCTAGGGCAGTACCGGAGAGAAATGTTCTCAGATGTCCACCAGGGACACTGACAAGAATGTCCGTGTATCCACAGGGGCAGAAGCCTGGCGGCAAACCAGGTGCCCACCTGCAGGAGAGAGTGCTGTACAACTATACAACTGTCCAAGAAATGGAATTTTATACGATATGTAATATGTACACATTACATATTACAATTTTGGTCCCTCCTATGTAATATGATAGCAAGGAAAAGCAACTCCAAGTCCCAAACATTCTCTGTAACATTATACTCTTACACAGTTGCTAAGGATACACAAAGATGAAAAAATATATTTAAAAAAAGCAGAGAGTAATGAATGTGGGATTCAGGTTGCTTAGATAGGTTTTATGGTTTGGATTAAAAATGTCCCCCAAAGGGACTATGTACTTAGAGATGGGGCTTTTTCAGGGTGGGGTGATTGAGACAGGATCTTACTGTGTATTCCAGGCTGGTCTTAAATTCTGAGCAATCTTCTTGCCTTAGCCTCCCAAGTGCTGAGATTACAGGTGTGCACCACAACACCTGGCTTAAAGAAGGGGCTCTGGGAAGGTGGCCAGCTCATGGGCACGATCCTCCTCAGTGGTCTAATCCATTCATGAGGTTGTAGCTGAGTGTAATATTGGAAGATGGGAACTGGCTGGAGGAAGTAAGTCGCTATAGGTGTGCACTGAAGGATAGAGCGGGACTCCCGCCCATCTTCTCTGGCTCTTCCCCTTCTCTTGCTGCTTCCTGGCTGCCATGGGGTGGGCAGCTGTCCCCTGCCAGGCCTGTCTGTCACAATGTTCCTGCTGTGAAGGCAGCTGACCAGGGACTAAATCTCCTGAACCATGAACTAAATAAAACTTTCCTTCTTTAGGTTGTGGGTGTCAGCTATTGTGTATTAGCAAGCAAAAACTCACTAATCCAACAGGGAACGAGGAGATGAGGACAGGAACCTGTCCCTAGGTAGATAGGGCTGTGGTCTAGGCACAGGTCTATCGAATGTCATTATACAAATAAGTATAAAGGAGGACCCTGTAATGGCCAGTGTGTCATGTTCTAAGGGTTATATGTAATTTAACCCCATTATCCTTTGAAATAAGTAACTAAAGAAGTATAGGAATAAATCGGCTTTGTGACACCCAGTTCGAGCCTGACTCCATGCTCTGTGACACCTCTGCTTGGACGCTGGGGCGGATGGGTGATCCTTGCTTCTCAGAAACCTGACCCAGATGAAAGTCTCTCTGCCTGAGCTGGACCACCTTTCCTGGAGAAGAAAGCGGGTGGCTGGGATTTTGTTCCATCCGCAGCACTTCCTGCCTGTCGCAGCATAGCTCCCAGCATTGCTCCCAACAAGGTTTATGCTTTCCAAGATGAAGAAGTTGAGTTGTGGCTGCACCAAAAGCCGACATGGAGACCAAAGTGCTGGAGAACCTCGGGCTGGTGCGACAGGCTGGCAGGGAGAGGGAAGGGGAGGGAACCTGTGTCTTAGTTCATTTTCCATTGCAGTAAGTTGATGCCCCTGACTGGGTGAGTTATGAAGAAAGCAGGTTTCTTGGGGCTCAAGGTTCTGGAGGTGCAAGGTCAAGGCCTACACTTGGTGATGGCCTTCTTGCTGGCCACGTCCCATGGCAGGTAGGGGCATCACAGGGCAGGACAGAGGGAGCACGTGTGTGTGAGTCTGTATCTGTTTTCTCTTCTTGTAAAGCCACCATGAACTATCATGGGGCTCCACTCTGAAGACATTATCTAACCCTAATTATCTTTCCAAGTCTCCAATTCCAAACAATAGTCGAGCTAAGGTTCCACCTCCTAATACGTCACAACAGGGATTACATTTCACCTCATGAACTCAGGGACACCTGTGCCATACCCAGGCTACAGCAGGAGGGATGGGGGTCAGCAGCTTTGATCTGCAAGGGAAGTGGGGAGAAGCTGTCTGGGGACCAGAGCCTCGGCTCTTCGCATCTTTTGTACCATACTATTTAATGACCTCATCCCAAGTGCCACTGTGTCCACCTTTTCAATCTGTCACCCCCCAATGAAAACAGCCCTTGCTTCCTTCACAAAGGACTTATGTCTACTTAACCAAATCCCTCTACAAAGCTGACCCTTAAGAAAGCTACTGTTCCTAAGAGCACTACAAACGCAACCCACCATCCTTTCCCCAGCCAAGGTCAATGCTCAATGGGGACATCTGTGTCCTGAAGTGTGATGACACAACCCTTGGGGGTGGTGACAACAAAGAGCAACACACCTGAGTCCAGCCACTTGGGGTGATGGCTTTAGCTGCAGGGGAAGGAAGTGGACTGGGGAGGTTTCCAGTTACAAGAAGATAAGGTGCCCCAGTTCCACCTCGCCTAAGACTGCATGGACTGGATCCCTTGACTAGGGCGAAATTTAGCAGAGTTTCGAAACTCCAGCCTGGACCTCTGGGGAAGGATAGGAATTGCAAGGACAACAGTCTCCTTTATTCTCCTGAAATCAAAGGAGTGACAGTACACCTCGAGGGGGACCCATTCAGCTGAGATGTGCTGAGGAGAGGCAGGAGCACCCACGTGGACCCCACAAGGAACCCACTGTTTTAAGATCTAAGTTCCAGCCCTGGTTCTGCACTGAACTCAGGCAGCTGCTTTTCCCACTGGGCTTCCAATGGAGCACCTGTATCAGGGCTGGCAAAGTATGACCCGTGGCCCAAATGTATAAATAAAACTTTATTGGGCCACATCCATGGCTTCTGCATCACACGAGATCTCTGGTTGCTTTTGCATTGCAACAGGAGAGGTGAACACTTGCAGCAGAGAACACAGACGACCCCTAAAGCCCAAAATAGTTACTGTCTGGTCACTCACCAGGAAATTTACCAACTTCTGATCTCTAATAGGAAGGAACTGGCCAGGCGTGGTGATGCACACCTGTAATTTCAGCACTTGGTAGGCTGAGCAGGAGGATCACCATGAGTCCAAGCCCAGCCTGGACTGCATAGTGGGTTCAAGGCCAGCCTGGACTGCATGGCAAGACCCTGTCTCAAAAGGGGGGGTGGGATTACTAGATAATTATTTCCCAGATGGATACATCAGCACCCCAAGGGATACAAATCATGAAGTAGAGAAATGGAAGGAAGTGATATAGTCCTGGACTTTGTGGAGGTTAGGCCAAGGCACATAGAACATATTAGCATTGTATTTACTTCTGTTATTGTATAGAAAAATCCACTTGGATGCAAGAAACATTACTAGAACTTTTATTTATTTTAAACTAAGAAATGAAAGGATAAAGCTTTATAACCATCTATAACATTATTCCTTCAATTTGTATACAGCCAGCCACAGTGGTACAAGTGCCTATAATTCCAGCTACTCTGGAATCTGAAGCAGGAGGATCACAAATTTGAGGCCAGTCCAGGCTACTTAGCAAAACCCTTTCTCCAAAAATAAAAAGAACTAGAGAGGCAGCTCTGGGTCCTATTCCCAGTACTACAAAAAAGGATCAGTGCTGGAGATATAGGTCAGTGGTATACCAGTTGCCTATCACGTGCTGAGGGTCAGGGCTCAACTCCCAAATCAATAGGAGTAAATTTCAGAGACATACTTCATATATAAATTAATTCTGCATAATTGGCTACTGTTGACAGTAGCTGAAAATTGATTGAACCTTTACTATGTTTCAGGGAATATTCTAGGAACTTTATATGAATTACCTCTTCTTGTTGCTGGGACAAATGCCCAACACCCACCACTTAAAGGAGGGGAGGTTCGCTGCCAGCTCCAAGGCAGGAAGGCATGGTGGAAAGGCCTGGGAGGAGGAGAGCTGCTCACGGCATGCTGGATAGGAAACAGAGAAAGAAGGGAGGAAGTGGGAGAGAGATACCCCTTCCCAGACCACTCCCCAGTGACCGCCTCTCCTGCCCAGTCACCTCCCAAACACATGAGGCTGTGGAGTCATTTTTGGTGGAGGCTGCAACCAGTCTGAGTTTAAATGAATGGCTGCTGTGTCCCTCTTCTGTGTGTCCTCTTACATGTACATGCATCTATTGACTATGATACAAAACTGTAATCACTGGGGGACAAGATCAGTGAAGTGGCCATGGTTCCAAGGGTGCCACTTAGATCAAGTCCTGTGGGATTTGGACTGGTAAAGACTGAGGCTTCGTCTAGCTCCTGACCTATTTTCTTCTCCCCACAGCCCACCCTGAGAGAGCTGCCCTGCTCTTCGTGTCCAGTGTCTGCATAGGCCTGGTCCTCACACTGTGTGCCTTAGTCATCAGGGTGTCCTGCCTCAAAGACTTCAGGGAGCTGCAGCTGGCGAGGGAGCACCTGGTGCCAGGAAGCAACAAGGCCGAGGACAGCGAGGAAGATGGGGAGGAGGAGGACTCCTCTGACTCTGAATTTCCAGGGGAACTGTCAGGGTTCCGTAGGACTTCATATCCAGCCTACAGTTCCATAGAGGCTGCAGAGCTGGCAGAAAGGATTGAGCGCAGGGAGCAAATCATTCAGGAAATCTGGATGAACAGTGGTCTGGACACCTCACTCCCAAGAAATATGGCGCAGTTCTACTGACGACCAGATGGATCTCCGCGTGATCACACTTTCTGAAGAGGGAAGGATCCAAAATGTCCCCCCAGGTCTGTTTCACTTGTACCTTCTATGAAGGAGAACTTGTAATGTCACCCACGACTGGTGAAAACAGAAAGCTGTCAAAGGGACTTGTCAAACTGTTTACAGCACATGCCAAAATAAATTAAAGACGGAAGAACTCCTTTTGTTTTGTATTTGAATTCATGCCAGTGCATTAGCAACTCTGTACATAACTAGAATTCATAATTCCTGCACACTCGTAATTCCAGGCACTGTCTTCAGCGCTTGTCGTGCACTGAGTCATTCGGTCTTCACAACTTCATGAGACGGTGACAAAAGACTCACAAAACAGCCATAAAAACACACTGATAGGCAGAATATGAGTCATGAGGTAAAATATGACATCATGAGTGATTTTGATTGCTAACTTCGTTTTGAGCAGATACCAACAACAACAACAAAAATTTTTAAAGGACAAGATGGTAAACTCTTTAGTATTGCCCCATCGTTATTGTTTCTGTCAAAACTACTCAACTCAGCCTCTGTAGTTCAAAAGAAGCCACAGAGGACCAGGGCTATAGCTCAGCAGCACAGGGCCTACCTGGCAAGCATGAGGTCCTGAGTTCAATTCCAAGACAACCAGAAAGAAGTCATAGATAACACACGACGAAGGTGACTGTGTTCTAGTAGAACCTTATACCTAGGTACTGGAGTATAAATTTTATTTCGTTCTTGCATGTCACATATGTTTCTTCTTTTTAAAATTGCCTATTTAAGAATGAAGAAAAGAAAAGGAAAAGAAAGAACAGTTTAGCTTCAAGGCTCTACAGAATCAGGCCACAGGTTTGATTTGAATTTGCCCTGTA